TGTCTGTGTGTGAGAGTGTGAGACGTTGCCTTGATGTGTGTGTGTGTGTGTGTGTGTGTGTGTGTGTGTGTGTGTGTGTGTGTGTGTGTGTGTGTGTGTGTGTGTGCGTGTGTGTGCGTGCGTGCGTGCGTGCGTGTGTGGTCAAAAACTGTTTAACTTCTGGTCAATCCTTTGAATAAACAAACAAACAGTGTATATCAGGAGCGCTAATTAACATACCTCCTCATTATACCTACTTTTAGTGTTTATTAAACGAGGGCCATGCATAAAAAAACCTTCAATATTCATGATCAATGCAGCTATGAGATAATGCTGATATGATTGATATGTTGCTGTCATGTTTACATACTGTATATTGGTCGTTTGAGCCCTCCTCAGCATTATGTAAATACTGCTATATTTTATTTTACTATATTATTCACATTTTTTATTATTTTGTAATATTATTATAGTTGTCTTAAATAGTTCTCCATCTGTGTTTTTCATTTTTTTTTACTTTTATGTATGCACCACGACACCAAGTCAAATGTCTCATACGTGTCAACCTACCTGGTAATAAACCTGTTTCTGATACTGATTCATTTTCACATCTTTCCTCAGACGCTGGAGCACGCCTTCCTGCGTCTGTGTGAGACGTCGGATCAGATGGGCTCTAAGCGGGGGGACAGTCCAGAGGGGGGGCCGCTGGAGAACAGCCAATCATTCGAGAGCAGACCAGAAGAGAGTCTGCCGATTCTCGCCGTCGGACCTCGAACCCCAGAGGAGCCTCCGAAACATTCAGGTACCAGTTTGAAACATGGGAAAAAAAGTTTCAAAATATGACCGTCATTTTTTACGAGTCATACAATCTGCATGTTGTTTCAGGATGATACAAATATGAATGGTGCGAAAGATATGTAAATATGACCGTTAAGAGGAAAGGCAGGTTTATTTATAAAGCACATTTCAACAAGGTCACTCAAAATGCTTTACATACAACAGTAAAAGCATTTGAACAAAAGAAGTACATCATAAACATGAATGTCAACATGTAATAATTTAACACATGGACATTTAAATACAAACAAAAACAGCTGAAGAAGAAGAAGAAGATATACCTCAGTTCCATTCAGCTTATTTTCTTGATTTTACAATAAATAATATTGATAACATGGATATTTGATGTTTAATCGTGTGCATTTTACAAACTGTACCACCTTTTACAATGTGCTTAGCATTGCTGTGTTTTAAAATGTGTTTGTGTGTTCAGCGGACTGGAAGGTGCGAGCCAGACACGTTATGCCCAAGTGGAGAAACATCGCCGCCCTGATGATTAAAACAATGGTGCGGATGAAGAGAATGCCGGGGTATGTAACAGTTAACCCATTCAGCAACTTAGCGTTTTTTCAAGTAAACTACTGAAATAAAAGACTGAGTAAGTAACAGTTGCTGAGTCATTGGAATGGAATCCAGTTAAAGGTCCAGTAGATGTTTCAAGTCCCTTTTCAAGAGGGGAAAATCGGAGAAGACTTGACACAATAGTATAGCAAGTGTTAATGTGCCCACATCATTAACATCATTTCCCTTTGTGTTGGCAGCTCGTTGTGTTTCCAGTTCCTGCTGCCCGTCATCCAGGTGTCTCTGATCTGTGTTTGCATCGGAGCTGACCCAAAAGAGATCCATGTTGCCGTGGTGAACAACGAGACCTCCCCCTCCTCTTACAGCCAATCACTGCTCTCCTTTCTGGACAACTCCAGCGTGGTCCAGGTATTCAATGCTTAACTTTATTTATACCCATCATGCAACACTACCCCCTCATGTTTATGTGTCACAACCGAAGAGGAAGTTGGGAGTTTTTCTTTACTTACTTTTATATTTGGGCAACAGAGAGAAACACCATACTAAATGCCAGGCATTGATCACACATTGGCATTGAGCAAATCCCATCTTCTTTATAAGAGTTTACAGAATAGGGAAAGCTAATCAACAGGACGCATCAAAGTAGTATTTCAGTAAAGCACTGGAGCATGGATTTGCTCCATAAATGTAATTCTGACTTATATTATAAATATGAGTGGGAATGAACACATAAGAAGTTTAAATCAACTGCAGATGCACGTTCATTTGATTGTGAAGATCTCCAAATTACAGGCTAATAACTGAAGCAATAGACTTTTTTTGTTCTTTAGCTTTTGCCATTTTCCGTTCTGCACTGTATTTATGTATATTGTGGGCCCACAAGATGTCGTATTCTTTGGTTTTTATTAGTCTGCAACCCCTTCAGGTCATAAGGTCACAACACCACGTCCTTGTGGTAGATTGGGGTTGAATCCCACCTTAAAATTGTCACTTCCTCCTGTTTGACTTGCTACTAAAGTCTTTTTTTTCTTCACAAAACTGTGTCTCAGGGCTTCTTAACATTTATGAAACTATTAATGTTCCATACTCACTTAACGGGAAGACACTCAGCTAACTGACGATACGAACCATTTTTACCGAAACAAAACACAAGTCTCACAAGAAGCGTCTAAATGAGCCCTGAGCGAAAATACCCTTATTACTTATCGTATCTGCAAAAACAAGATATCGACTAGCAAGCTGAGATTCCACAGATTCCAGAAATATTAGTCTCATCACTGAGCGATCCAAACTCGCGACAGGGGAAGCGAAAACAGACATCACAACACGTAGCTTCACGGAGGAAGCTTCTTACCTTAGCTGTTGTTCTGATCAAAATGTGTGTTCAATGGCATCAAAACGATAAAAACGCTGCCGAAGATTAATCCATAGGTTAATCCAATGTGTCTGTGTCACTTTGAAATGATTCCTGATAATCCATCTTCATATTTACTAGTTTGAGCCTAGGTTTCAGTTTTCAGAGCGTAACATAGCTTTCGACTGCGTGCGCATAGCTCTCACTGGTCAATGGTAACGTGTGTGTATGTGGAACTTCCCCTTCAATTCTATTGGCTCTAACAGTTAAAAAGAGCTGTCAATCACCAAAATCGACCAATGGGTTCCAGAGAAACGGCAAATCCACCCAAATGACCCCAAAGGTGTTTTTGTGTTGCTAAACCTCTCTAAAAAGGTCAAATGTATCTTGTTTTGCATCAATCTTGATACAGGGTACTTATTATATGTTATAGTTTGGATTCCTAAAGCTTTTAGTCTACTATCCCATCATTCCAAGGGTGGTTTTCACTATAAGTCATGTTTTTTTTTTGGACGGACACTAAAATTTACATTTTTTTACTAACTTCAATCTGAATCTACTTTACAATAAAACAATTATATATTGATTCTGACTTTTCTACATCCAACTCACAGGTTTATCATTGCTTTGAGAAAAAAGATTATTAATTTACCCCTTTTAGAAGTGAAGTTATGGTCATTTTCGAGCCTGAGGCCTGAAAAACAGGCTTGGGGCTTAACAGGTTAAAAAGAGAGTTTTCTTCAGACTTGTTGGCAGTATTTCTCCCCTGTAGCAGATATACTGTAAACTGATTCAGGTTTATTTTCTCTCGTTGATTTATTATGATTGTTCAATCTGGCATGACAGATTGTAACTGTATACACAACCAGACTGCAAAGAAGTGTGTTTGTTTCTGGGCTCACACTGGCTGATGGTATCTGAAGTATTTCAGGCTAGAAAAGGAAGTGCCAGGTGTCGGCCGGTTGGTTTCACTTCTGTTAGCAGAACATTAATTCTCGAGGAAATCCGTGAAGAGGAAAGGTCGTTTCTCTGCTTCACGTTGAACCTCAACCTTTCAATATACTGTACAAAACGCACAGAGAGTATGTGAAGCTGCTCAATAAACAACATTAGAATCTTTAGAAATATGCAGCCCACTGTCGCTGGAATAAAGTCACATTCACTTGATATAAAAACGTTAAATTATTGGTTATGATATATCATTTGCTTTTCATGTATCCACAGGTGAACTTGAACCATACAGAAGCTTTTGAAGGGATTTATAACGGAGAGTACTGGGGCGTCATCGGCTTCGGGGAAAACTTCACCAGCTACCTGACGAAAAGGTGAGAGAAACAGGTACTCTCAATACCACAGAAATCACTTAATAATTATTTGATAAATGCCAAAAAAAGATAATATCTTGTTGGTTATCCATCAAATACTTCTCTCCCATAGTTAAAATGGTCTGCTTCTTTCGTATCAGAATACAAATCAGAGTCAGAAATACTTTATTTATCCCGGGGGGAATTAGAGAAAAACGGTTGCTCTTGTTTGGAATAAAATTAATATAAAATAAATATATTTATATAGACAGTCAAAGTAAAAATGGGCAGATGTATTTCAATATATATCAACAACAAATAGGTAAAACTATGTATATTATAATTTATACAGTAGTGAAACAATATCAACCCAACAAACAATGTACGGGATATGAAGACACACTGGTGTCTGCTAACATCAGCAAGAGGATACCAATTTATAACCAAATTCAAAAAGCGTAAGTGTAACAAAACACAAATGCAAACTCCTGCATTGTGCTTCTCTTTGTTGCACATAGATCAATCAATTCAAAAAAAAATGTATGTCTTTTTGGAGATTACAGCTAGACAATCCTTACTGGTCTGTTATTGAAAAACAGTCACAAGTCAGACTGAATGTTGTCGCTCCCTGCTGTAGCGCCCCTAGCTGCAACTTTAAGCCATTTCACGTGAAGTGTTTTTAGTTCATTATGATCCACTGGAAGCTTGAAGTGTTTGTTTTCACCTCCTTCACATGTGGAGCGTTTTTGGCTAAAGTTCAACATGGTATTTAAAAGAAAGACTCAATGCAGTCTGCTTTCATTGTTATGGCAAAGTCATGTTAGACCTAAAAACAAGCTCTGCATCAATCCTTCGTCAGGGAGTTGTCGCTCTCTGTCTTTGACTTTGAAGCATAAATCAAACCCAAACAACGCTCACACACACACACACACACACACACACACACACACACACACACACACACACACACACACACACACACACACACACACACACACACACTAGTCATGTGAGGGTGACTCAACAGAGTGCAAGTGCATAAGTTGTTGTTTCAGGTGTGTGTGTGTGTGTGTGTGTGTGTGTGTGTGTGTGTGTGTGTGTGTGTGTGTGTGTGTGTGTGTGTGTGTGTGTGTGTGTGTGTGTGTGTGTGTGTGTGTCCTGGGTAGACAGTCTGGTCCTTCCTGTCCCTAACACACCTGTCACAGCTGAGCAACAAAAAGTCATGTGACTCCACGGCCTGAGAAAAACAAAAGGTGTCATGCGGGTCATGAGAAAATGATCTAATATGTTCACAGTGTTATCCTTATGTGAGTTTATTATGTGAACAGTTGGCTTCAGTTCATTGTTTATTAATTACTGTGTGGACGAGGCATGGCACCTTACCTACCTTGTGAGGGAAATGTAACTATCTATAAATTCATTATTAAAGGAGAAAATAATACGTTATAAATACAACTCTTTAAATAATGATACATTAAAAGTATGGGTGTTATTCCAAGTGGAGTTGTAACATTTAGACAGCTAGGAAAAAAACACAACACATGTCAATTGTAGATGTAACTGTATGGCTCATTTAGCAACTGTTCTTTGTTTTGCCTTCAGAAAAAATGTATGTTTTCGGACAACAATATTCACATTTCATTCAATATTCAGTCAAACTTTTATGTAGGACACTAGTTAATACCAAAATGCATTGTTTTATGGTCTTTCATCACCATCTCTGTCCGTCTGTCTTGTAATGTTCCTGTAAACAGCTTGTGTTGTGCAGATAACCTCCAGACAATATTCTGCATCTTCAGCATCTAACCCCTCTTCTTGTTTTCTTGTATTGAAATATTCCAGTTGTGTTGATAGTCACTGAACATTAAATATATGTTCAGATTATGACCCTGTTCTTTTTTTACAGGATGATGTCGCGGCAGGTTTCTAGAGAAGTGCTCGATGGAGGATCAATACACGTCTGGCTGGACCTGACAAGTAAGAAATCTCATAGTTTGTAGTGTGTTTGCTGAAATGGGTACATTCACATACATTTACACTGAAATACTGCTATTAAATGCATGGCAAAAACTCATTGGTGCAACTTAAAGGTGGGGTAGGTAATTCACTTCAGAAACACTTTTTGTTATATTCCATGGAATGCTCTTAACATCCCGATAGCAATGAATACATAAAAAAATGTCATCTGTGGAAGCCGTGGCGCTGTAAAAAGCACGACCAATCATCTGAGCCGGCCCGGCTAAAATAACTGGATGCCAGTTTTGGAGGAAAAGAGGGTTCCAAATTTTACGTCACTTCGTTAAATTTCAAACAAAGAAGCGAGTGACACTCTTTAGAGGAAGGCCTCGTGTTCGCGCTGGTAGAAAAAGTAGTTCGATCTGATAGAGAGCGACGTTTTTAGAATCCAATACACACACATTTGTAAGCACCGCGATCTAAACCTTTCATGCGCGGCTTTTTTTAGTCGCGGGAAGCAAACAGCGCAAGAATCCGACGGGGGCAGGTTGTGTATGGCGAGCGTTACTGTGTTACTTTTCCGTGCCTCACTCAAAACACGTGCTCTACCTCCGTC